CCCCCCCTCCCCTCTCAGTTAGGCAGATGTTACAGGAAATGGCAACAGACTGGCATCATCTGCCTACCCTTGGACTGTCACTGTCCTCAATACACATGTGAAACATCAGTGCTCTGAAGTATGGATCCCACGTGACTTTCTGACAGAGAGCATGCCTGATGAGTGAGACAGCAATCCGTGGCTTGTTTACTCTGCCAAAAGTATTTGTGTACGTGTTCTCAAATTTAACCGCATCAGATAGAATAATACAACAAGGAGCTTGATACATCTGGGTGGAAGCAGAGGCTGCGTGGATTCTTATTCCATGAGTAGGAAATCATGCAGTACCTTCGGTTGCGTGTGTTCGTTTAGAGCCTGAATATCGAACAACGGCGTCCTTCTGAATGAAGAACAATACCTCTTTTGACAGCGAGTGGCCGGCAGTGGCGAGGTCAAGATGTGTGAAGGTTTTTGACGTGTCACATTCCTGCGCTGACACTTTCTGGAATGGTTTACTAACAGTTTTGATTTGAAAGACAGATAGGTGTTATTCCTGTACGGTTTCTTCTGCGCACCCCGTGTGCAGCTGCGTGTTTGAAGGGAGTCTTCTAATCAGCTGGGGGGCCACAGTTACACAGACTCAGATTACAGCATCTTGTAATCACGAGAGAAAGAGCAATTAGGGCGCTTTAGGCTCGAGTCACTTATTTCAGAGGGAAGTAGCTACATGTAGTCGACTGTTTACACAATTCCACATAAATCGAACATGAAAAACATAATTGGTCCTTTTAAAGTGAAAAACTGTTATGTAATCAGGTCTTATTTTATGGGAAAACAACAATCTTTATAGTTTGAGAGAACTGAAAGAATGTGTGTTTGCAGTCAGCAGGATGACCCCCTCGGTGTTTTCCTCAGTTGCACAACTCCTTTTTCTGTTTTGCAGCTTGCTGGTATGGAGTCAGGATATGCCTGTTTCTGCGGCAACGATGTGGACCTACAGAAACGTGGCGAGTCACCTAGCATGGAGTGTAACCATGTTTGCTTCGGTGACCACACTCAGCCCTGCGGCGGAGACGGCTGGGTCATCATATTCAGCAGTGAGCGCTGACAGTTGTCATTCTGGATCTCATTCTTTAGTCTTTTCACATCTCTGCTGTAATTTCACGTACATTTTCAAACATTTAGTCTGGTTTTATTTTGCACAAATCTGATTTGGGGACAGCTCGTTTCTTTTATCGTCGTAAAGCTGTAAGACGTCAGAACACAACACACCTACAATTTTAAAATTAGTAACCCTGCCTGCAGCTAGCTCTTCTTTATTCTAAACCCATACCACCATGCCATCAAAGACAGGATCTGCTCTGAAAAGACTTTTGACTGACAAAATCTGCTATCAAAGATCAGGTTTTCTACAGCCTGAAATTAAAGCCCAAAGGCTCAGCAGTCTAGTTTTCTCTCAGACCACCTATATTTCAGTCTCCTGAAAAGGTTTTTTTTGGGTCCATTCAAAAACACGTTTCTTGCATAACATTTATTCATATGTTATGTCCAGTTAGGCTCATTTTCCAGAAGCTTTGTTGCTGGTTATGAGTGAATCCTATTTCTTGTTTTTAATACTCACATACTCGTCAGTTAAACCACATTCTTCTTCAGGCTGTTTTAGGCTGAATCGTGTAAAGATGCTTTGAATTAAATTCTGAATCTAAATCAGCTTGAGGTTAATAAATCAGATACCACAGCTATGGTGTTATGTTGTGGTGCTAAAAATCAAAGGACATGTCTGTCCTTTGTGTCTGATCAATCACAAAAAGTCATGTACAACATCCTCACAAGACCAGATGTCAACCATCTCCACAACTTTTAGTCTTTAAACGAATAACACAGGCATTTTTTTACTGCTCTTTTTTCAGCCCGAGTGGGGGCCTGTGGTGGGAACTACACTTCTCCATCAGGAGTGATCTACTCCCCCGACTTCCCTGACAAATACGGGGCTGGGCGTGTTTGCTACTGGACTATCCAGGTCCCTGGATCCTCGGCCATCCTCTTCAATTTCACCTTCTTTGACATCTCCGACCAGACCGACATGGTGGAGCTATTGGATGGCTACACAAATCAAGTGGTGGCCCGCTTCGACTGGCGAAGCCCTCCGCGGGATCTGGTAAACATCACGGGCGA